AGTGTTTGTCGGGTTGGTTCGTTTTTTCTTCCTAACTACTGTGTGTGTGTGTGTGTGTGTGTGTGTGTGTGTGTGTACACACGTCTCCTGCTGCCCCCTGCTGGAGGGGTTGAATCCTGCTCTGTGCGTGGAAGCACTCCCCCTGCTGGAGGGAATGGGTCAGATCCGCCTCTGTGTGTGTGAGTTCGGGTTCCCTCTGCTGGCTGGAACCCGAACTGCCATGCTGTGTGTCAGAGGCCATGTTCTGCTAAGAACTAACGGAGATTCCCCTTTAATTTTAGTTCCTGTCTTTTCCGATGCCACAAGCCCTGCCTATTTCACCTCCTCTGATGGCCACATCACAAGTGTCTAGGGAAGTACAATAACGTCCTCTCCTTGTGCTCAGCAGAGGTATCTAGTCTCGGGCAGTTCCGCAGACCCTGCCTTCCTGTCTGGCCCCAGCCCCAGCCCCCACACTCACACTGGACGTCTATCCGTAGCGCTGGGGATGGGACCGTCTGTATTTCATTGGTGGCTTGGCAGAGATAGGAGCCGGAATGCTCGTCCCCCTTGGCTTCAAACTCCAGCCTCTGATCCTGCCCCTGGTGCAGCCACTGTGTGTCCTTATACCAGTTGTACGTGGAGACGGGGGGGTTGCTGCCCTTGGTCATGCACATCAGCACGAGTCTGTCCCCCTCTCGGATAGTCTCTCCGGGTGTCGCGTTCAACTGGACTCCCTTAGGGGCATCTGGAGCAAACCAACACGCGGGTGAACAGAGATATGGACACTGTCCAGACATGGGGCAGGAAATGGGACACTGGGCCATTCCCCTTTAGGAGGCGCCAGCTCCCATCCAGGGCAGGGGACTGGCTGGCTCAGGGGGATGGGGAATGGGGCATCGGGCCTTTCCACTCTAGGGGGCGCTGGCTCTGACCCTCATGCCCACCCTGCCCAGTGGTACAGCCCCACTCTTCCTTCAAAATACTGCCAGCTCCCGCCCCATTGGCCAATCTGCTTCCACCCACCTGGACCCCAGTCCACCTCCCGGTGCCCCACAAGAACTGCAGCCCGTACAGCGCTTTATGGGTCAGTGCCAGAGCTGC